GCCATGCTAGAAGAACATCACTTACCGAAGTTTCTATGGCCCGAGGCAGTGGCATATGCCACATATTTGAAGAACCGATCACCAACCAGGGCCATCAAGAATGATTTAACCCCAGAAGAAGTGTTTCAGGGCACGAAACCAGATATTTCAGCACTTCAGGAATTCGGAGTAAAGTGCTGGGTGTTGCAGCAAGATAACAAGAGGTCAAAACTAGACCCAAAGTCAAGGGAATTCATTTTCACAGGCCTTACAGATGAATCCAGGGCCTGGAGATATTATAACCCTCAAACCAGGCAGATTCAGACCTCAAGAAATGTTATATTCCCTGAAAACAACACTACAGAGCCTATAGACACTGACTATATAGTCTCCCACCCTTCGTTGCTCGAGGGGGAGTCAGGGAGCAAAGTCGAGCAGACTCCGGATGGAAATGATGGCATTTCGGACGATTCCGTGGATGCCGGAAATGCCGAACCAAAAGGGGAAATAGCCCCTGATGTGTCATCGATCAAATCAAATTTCCCAATATGGCGTGGGAAAGTGATCGAGCCACGCGACAAATCGGTCCGGATTGCATCAAAGACTCAACCGAGTTACCGGACACTTCATAATCCAAGTGTACGAGCTGTGAAAACATCGGAACAACAGCGTACCTCAGAAGAATCATCTTTGGAAGCCGTAAATGTTGCAATAGACTATGCATCCATTGGAGAAACTGCAGATAACCTCAGTGATGAGCCATTAAGCCTTGAAGAAGCTAAGACAAGGCCAGACTGGCATCATTGGAAGAAAGCAATGGATGAAGAATACAATCTATTAACTTCCCTAGGCACATGGCAGCTGGAAGAATTACCCAAAGACAGATCACTTGTGGATTGCAAGTGGACTTACAGATTGAAAAGGGATGGTGATGGGAAAATCACCAGATACAAGGCCAGACTTGTTGCAAAAGGATTTTCACAGATACCCAGCATTGATTTCTTCGAGACATATGCACCAGTTGTCAGGCTGGACACATTCCACCTACTCATGGCAATTGCTGCTCAAAGAAACCTAATCATTCATGGAATGGACGTTGTTGGAGCTTACTTAAATGGTAAACTCAATGAATCCATTTACATGGCACAGCCACCTGAATATTCAGATGGGAGTGGAAAAGCGGCACACCTCAAATTAACGTTGTACGGACTCAAGCAATCTGGCCAAGTTTGGAATAACAAATTAAATGCTACATTTTTGGGACTTGGATACATCAGATTGATCAGTGATCAATGTGTATACATCAGACAAATGGGTTCTGATCCCATAATCGTAGCTGTACATGTCGACGACATGACATTGCTTGCCTCAGATGATGAAACCATGTCTAAAATGAAAGAAGAGCTTAAGAAGAAGCTAAATGTCACAGACATGGGGGAGATTCAATATATATTGGGCATGAAGGTAGACAGGAATTGGGACAAGAGCACTATCACTCTATCCCAGAAGGCATATATTCTCAAAGTACTTGAGCGAATGGGCATGAATGACTGCAAACCGGTCAAAATGCCTATGGACCCGAATGTACGGCTAGAGAAAATTCCGACAGAAGACCCACGAGGCGTTGACACAGCCACCAGGCAATATTACCATACTGGTGTCGGATCACTAATGTATGCGGCCAATGGATCCCGGCCCGACATTGCACATGCTGTCACCGAATTAAGCAAGTACGTGCAGAATCCGGCTGCTGAGCATGTCACAGCCTTGAAGCGAGTTTTCCGCTATCTGAAGGGAACTCTAGACTTCGGAATCACATATGGAGGGACTATGGATGAGCTGATACCTTATTCAGACTCAGACTGGGGAGAAGACAGAACAGATAGAAGATCAACATCTGGTTATGTCTGTACCTATGCAGGGGGAGCTGTTACTTGGAGTTCAAAGAAACAGCCCACCGTAGCCTTATCCACTATGGAAGCAGAATATATGGCCCTTGCACACACAACCCGGGAAGTAATTTGGCTACGAGCACTCTTAACCGAATTAGGATTGCCACCTTATGAAGCAACGACTATTTTCGTCGACAACCAATCAGCAATCAAATTTGCCGAGAACCCTATATTCCATGCACGATCGAAGCATATAGACATACGGCATCACTTCGTTCGTGAGCGCATGGCTTCAAACGAAGTCAAAGTTCAGCACTGCGCATCAGAAGAGAACTTAGCGGATATATTCACTAAAGGCCTACCAAGACCATTACATGAGTATCTATCTACAGATATTCTAGGAACTCGGAATTGAGGGGGAGTGTTGGGATAGCAATCCCGAGCGAGTACGAGAACGTACTCGAAGATACGATGCCAGTCAGCGGCAGCTGACTTGGATCGTGATCTGGACTTATTTAGTATCTCGTAGAAAGATCTCGAAGTAATACAAAATGTATTTAAGTAGAACGTTTCTCTCTCGAGAGGCCAATTCTAGTTCTCTGTTCTATTACCCTGCTCTCTACTTACAACAACTAACAGATTACATCATAATTCATCTTGGCATAGTCCACCGCAGCATTTCCTTCATGCAAGTACGCATTATTCTTCGTTCCATTTTTCAGAACGGAAATCTCGTACAGGCTGAGAAACGGACTCTGAATTTACAGATGGACGGATCCCCAATTCTTTCCGAAGAATGAGAAGGTCAAGAGAACACAGCTGCGTGAATGACGGCAATCGTTGCTGCATCGTTGCTGCCGCGCCGTTGCAGCATTCAAAGTAATTGCAACATTTTGTGAGCGCTTAGATACGTATCACCCTGGATTTTGCTTTTTTGAGAATAGTGGGGTACAGCAAGATATCAACGAGAACTGCAAGGGCGTGTCCACAAGTAAATGTAGGGCACGAGTACATCGATTGAATACCCTTCACACTAGACGCCCAATTTTTCAGCAGAAACCAAAGTCTCTGTTCAGGGCTTCCCTTTGCGGTACTAAGGTTGGTTACTGAAAGATAAGCGGGTCCTAAAATATTGAACGAAACCTGTCCACCGCCAGGTAAGGGCAATCGTGGGAACTGAACCCAACGCTAATGTCGACCGCCATCTCCTGCCTCCGCATTTTCTTTAAAGACGACAGAATAAGATGATGCCCTTCCAGTGGCTCACCCAGCTCTTCTCTACCGTCCTTCCGTGATCATTGGGAAGCGGCCTAGAGCGAGGGCGTCAATCTCGGACTGAGCTTTCTCTTGAACTTGCGGATGAAGAACCATCGCTAGTATGAATGACGTTAACGCGGATGGAGTCTTGGGTATAGTTAGATTGGCTGGGTAGTTATAGGCGTCCTGCTCACTGTCTCTGCCCCTCCTAGATAAATGAACATGTTACCTAGTTACTTCGAAATGGAACGCACCTGAATACAAAGATGCCCCTGCCGCTTTGGCCAATTCCCCAAAATCGTCAAGAGGATTATTTGTCAGTGAGGGCTCTTCGAGGTATTGGGACAGGAACGACTGTTCAAAGATACCTTTTTTCTGAGGCAGAGCTAGTATTAAAACGATGGACAGCGTCGACATCAGCCAAGACTGACCATCTCAGTTTTGACGAAGTTAAACGGAACATCATACAATTCATCAAGATCGCGCCTCATGGATTTAGCTGTCCGCTGGAATGATGCACCAGGGAACCAAGGCGGTACGTGTTTTACTGAAAAGAGCCTTTGTTAGGAGGAACACAAATGATCTTGTCGCCTAGACTCACACATGGTAAAGCTGTCTACCCACCATCTTCCAGGTTCGGAGGCGCGGGCAAAACCAAGCATGGCATCTTCGGCGATTTTGACCAGGTGAAGAGGATCGCCTATACGTGACGGGTATCCGTACATTAAGAGTAGGATCGTTGATGATGTACATCTAGCGAACTTGCATTAAAGTTCGTTGCTTACTACCAGCGTTTGAACGCACTCCCTTGCATGCTTGGAGAAGTTGCCAGGATCTGATAAGAGCTTCGACAGTAGCCTATTATCCGGTATGATTTTACAAAGGGCAAAAAAATCAGGGGCCGAACTTTAGATTCTCTCGCTCCTGTAAATCTCGGAGTTCTCTAGATTCGCACGCTCGAGGATCCATCCATTGGTGGAAGACCCGGTGGAATTCGCGAAAACGGGAGTTTTGCGTTGCTTATGCGTACCCTAATCCACGGGACCAGCCGACTCTTAAGATATTTGCATATTATCCCATTTGACAAACAGCGCGTCTGACTTAGAGCTCGCCGGCCATGACAGCAGAAGGACGGTTAGAATAAATATTTCCTGTGTGTGTCTGGTACATCAATGATGCTGTTGACAACGGTGCTGGAGAGCTCACCTCGACCTTCCAAAAGGTCTTTCGACGCCTTGAGGGATGAAAGGACTATGACGGGTTGTCCAAAGACTGTTATCTTCATGATATCACCTGGCAGGTGTCGGTCTATCGTTTTCAAGTCAGGCGTACCCACGCACCATATTTTTGCTTCCATTCATGCCAATTCAACCATTGGCGGTCTGCAGGTATCTGTAAGGCATTTCCTATGATTGGCAGAGGGAGGGGAGGACCGGGGGGAGACCGTCCTCGTAGGATAAAAGCATGGATCTGGTTATAGACGAAACAAATGATAAGAGTAGACACGAGGAACCCAGAAAGACTCGTAAATTTAGACAAATCTGATAGAGAGTCCATGTCATCGGGTGTCGTGGTGGTGATGGGAAGGAAAAGTGAAAGAAGGTCATAGTGGGAGTGATGGCAAGCGCCGGAATGGATAAGACGCAGGTGGTCGATGTGTTTACCCTGGGACATGAGTTGTAACCTGCTGCCGGACGAGTGTGTTCAGCGCGCTTGCTTCTGTTTTTCCAAGGGTATCGTTGACATTTATTATTAACGTTACTGACGGTATTTGAACGGGAAATGGAAGCTACTGGCTGTCGCGACAGGATTAAATAATGCATTGAAATATCAGCTGGGAGCAATAGCATTGGCCACAAAGCAAGGCCGCCAAAACGTCACACTATGTTTGGATTGGCATCTCATGAAGTGCTCAGGTGTTCGGTAGTAGACGTTATGGTAATTGGTCAATGATGAAATGACGGTGCGATATCATGGACCAGTAATCACCACGTTCTACGTATTCAAGGGGGGCAGCAAGGCCAGGCCAGGTGACCTAGTAGCTCCCACTCAAATAAGCCGCAGCAACGCAGCGAGGAGGAGAATATTTGTCGCTGTTTGTTTCGAAGGACGTCGAGTCCCATCGGAACTGCGGCGGGATGACCTCATCATTCAGCGATTCATCTCTGGGAATGATTTTCTGAATCATGTCGACTGGGAACAGGATTGGCCGTACAACTGTCAAACACAGACTTTTTACAGGTCCGACTGGCATCATAATAGCTCCAGCTTGACGGCAAATCTTCTGAACTTTGAATTTCGCTTCCCGGGATCGATGCGCAGTTTTTGTCCTGCGCATTTGGACCCTATTCCATTTGGAAGGCCTGCTCTTGGGAATACGGCATGGCTGTGAACTAACCTAACGCTCTTTGTAGGATCTCTAGCATAGCATAGCCTCGAGGATTCGGAATATCCATACTAACAACGTTACAGTGAATTGATACTCCCGTAAGTCCATTTATTTTATCCGCTCGGGTCACGGTCCTGGTTAACCCTCTTCTTCCGCAGTCATATTTATTGATCAAGCTGTGCTTTTGATGGCTTTTATAATTTCTTCTTTCCCTTCCGTAGAGCACCAATTTCCCGCTCACATCTCTCCAGGCCTATGGAGTGCACTGCGTTTCGCAATTTCTTCGGGGGAATCATGTCCCCCCACAGGCGACATCGCTATGACCTCCTGTCGGACGTCGATGATGAATCCTACCAACTCCCCGCGGATGGCAATCTACCTCGGCGACGGTTCTCTTCACGTCGAAATCCCTTCGGCTTCCTCACACACGTTTTCTTTTCCACCGCACTTCGACGAAACACTTTTTTCTTCTTGCTCGTCGTGACATGCGTCATCGGTTGGCTGGCCCCACCTTCATACAATGACGTACGGGATTTTGAACAGCACTTCCCGCAACATCAGATCCCGACCGATTACATAGGCGACAGAAGATTTCTACGCTTTGAAGGGACGCTATGGGGTCTTGGCTTGAACAACATCTTGCAAGAAGAGTATGTTATTCCGCCTTTTTCTCCTCACTTACATTGGCTAACTTGATATAGCCTCCTTCTATCTTACATCGCGTACGCGACAAACCGTTCATTCGTATTCAGTGATTACACATGGTCACACACTCCGTTCCCTTTCACCATCGACGATTACTCTCTCCGACCGGCTCGAATGCCTCTAAACGCCTTTATTTCCGGTCCCACCGCGGGTGGACCAATATCGACATCACACAACCAACATACATTGGATCTACCAGCGGACTCTCATGCCCAAATCGACGCAGATTTACGCGCGGTACGCTTAGATTATTTCGACGCTGTTTGCCCGCCAAATCTACGCGTCCGGCTCACCTCTGCTGACATCCCGCAGCTAAGTGACGACACCCTCGAAGGAGACGCCCTTTTGGCTACGTGGGTAGATTGGTTATCACGAGACGAGGTCGTGAAACAGCCATGTGTGGTTGTTGATTTCAGTGAGAAAGTCGTGTTTGATCATCTGTTCGTAGTACTCGGTCTTTATCACTATCGCCACTGACTCTAAATCCGATATAGATTGTTTGGATCACAGAGAGTAATATCCATATTCCCCGTACTTGCGTCGAGCCCCATCCTCAATGAGTTCGCATGGTCCTATCTCGTCGAAGGTGCTGTCGAACGGAACATGAATGGATTAATTAATTCAGCATCGTCCTCATCTCCGAATCTCATGTCTGGCGTGGCAGCGGTTCATCTAAGAAGAGGCGACTACTCCGGGCATTGCCTCTATCTTTCCAAACACAACACCCCATATCAGGGCATGAACCAATACCCCGGTATCCTCGACCGGTTTGATCCACTCGAATTTGACCCGTCTGCGCCTTCCCCAGATAACGACTCATACCATCATTACCTCCCACACTGCCTCCCCACCATTCCAGAAATAGTCGAACGTCTACGAGCCGTTCGCGCAGAAAACCCACAGCTATCATTGACCAAGGTGTACCTACTCTCGAATGGTCGCCGGTGGTGGCTTGATGAGCTTTGGACAGCGTTGCGGGCGGATGGGTGGGAGCCTGTAAAGGAAGGTTTGGGGAGCAGTCAGGATTTGGTCTTGACGAGACAGGAACAGTATGTTAGTGGGGCGGTGGATATGGCTATTGCGGAAAAGGCGGAGATGTTTGTCGGGAATGGGTTCTCGAGTCTTACGGGGAACATTGTAATGTTGAGGCTGGCCAAGGGTGTTGATGTGGGACTGAATAGGATGCTGTGATTATAACACATATATATAGGGTGTGGTGTACGTTACAATAAACTTGAACGAAGTAGTATCTATCTCGTGCTTCACCGTAAGTCACCTGGGTAGAGAACATGCAAGAGAACCCCATACAATTTAAAATTTTCCTAATGTCGGGGAGGCGCGATTTGGAATTCTAAATGTGCTCTCCATCAGTCGTAATGACTTTGCTGCGCATTCACAACGAAACTGTAAAATGCCGCTGTCCTGCCGTGATAACACGGTAATGCAGAATTGGTCCTGAGCAAATAAATGGTCCTTCACTGATACGTCTCAAACCACATTGCGAAATGTTTCAACAATTTATTTATTTATTTAAATTGAGTTACTCGTGTGTGATGGGATGGGCCAGCCGGGTGCTACAAACTATCGCTACTATGATACATAAATGATAAAATGGATACAAAGCAAAGTGATACACAGCTTTAGCTCTAACAGTTGTCATCCACGACCGTACCGAGGGCTTCGTTAATTGCATCGAGCAATATATCATTCGAGTCACCGGCGACGTTCCACATCGCGAAGCCCTTCAGTCCGTTGTCACTGATGTACCGGCCCTTCGCCGCAAAAGACGTAGCATCATCATAGGAGACCATCACTTCCGAGGTCGAGTTGTATACGTAGGGCTAAGAAGAAAAAAAAAAGTCAACACTAAGTCATCGATACCTGTACAAAGGAGAACTCACGGTCTGACTGCAGGTATCAAAGATGTAATCTATCCCTTCAGCAGCTGTGCCATTTTCGGTGAGGAAGCCGCCATCGATGAGGCCCCAGAAGTTGAAAATACCACTGACCCCGCTGCTGGGGTTACCACAAATATCGGTGGTCTCAGTAGTGGTGGTGGTGGTGTTATCACTATCACCAGCGGGTTGTAGCGAAGCGTTGAACTTTGGATAGAGTTCCAGAGATCCATTGGAGGCAAGCGCATCCGCGGTGTCGACGTGGAAGCTGTGGCCATAGGATGCAACGCCAACGGCAATCTTCGGTGTCAAGCGGTCAGCATCGTGGGCGATTGATCTGACAGGAGCAGACATACCTGGCTAGCAGGGAACCCAGCAGTTGTCCATGCTTTGACGGCTGAAACAACGGAACCCACTCCGTTCGTGGCACATGTATCGTTGAGAGGAGCATTGGGGCCAACAGTGGCAGACCAGGAGCCCCAGATGTCGTAAACCATGATAGCTATGAATCGTAAAAACACATCAACCCTCACGATATCCTTGCTACAAACTCAAAACACGTACCAATGTGATCCAGATATTGTGCAAAGTTGGAGACATCGGTCATCGGCTCACCATCAGAACCAGCGAACGGTGTGATGCCGACAGCAGCTGAAAGGTACAATTTGGAACCAGTCGAATCTTGACGAAACTCTTGGAGGAAGGTAAGGAAGTTGGCCGAGTCACTGGTGGAAATGGAGTTACACCCGATACCGGCCTTGTTAGGATACTCCCAGTCGAAGTCGATACCGCTCAAGTTGTAAGTGTCGACGAGGTTGACGATGGCCTTGATAAACGCGGTGCGGTTCTCAGCGGTGGCAACTGCTAGAGAAAAACCCTGGGATCCCGTCCAACCACCGATGGACAATAGGGCGGAGACATTCTGTAATTCAAGTCAGACGACAAAGATGCCCGAAAGACGGACCCGCTCCTCACGTTCTCCTGAGCATTCGCAACGAAGTCGGGAAGCCTTGATTCACTCAGTGAGTCCAAAGCAATGTCGGAGGAGTCAAAAGTGGTTGTGCTGTCCAGGAATCAATGGGCCTTAGCTAAACCAGAGGAATGATCAAACGCACGCGAAGGCAAACGTCATCATGGTGTACTTTTCCCATGGAATATCAGAAGGTGTGTAATCTTCCAACCAGCCGGGATACCATGCGGCAGCTAGAAAATCAGAAGTCTCATTCGTGGTAGCCCTGGTACTGGAGGTGCATGTCGACGTCGTAGCGGGAGTGGAAGCAGATGAAGTAGCAGAAACAGAACTAGCTGTCAGACGGCAGTATGGGGCCGCCAAAGCAAGAGGAAAGAATGGTAGTAAGAGAACGGGAAGCATCGTTATCATCGTGCAAGTGAGAGTAAAGAAAGAGTGAGTAGTTCTGAAAAATTTTCGATCAACGGAGTAGGTGGGTTTAATAGGGCAAAAGAACGTGTTTTTGACAAGGACGCCTGACCTATTTGTACCATCCGAGGCGCGGCCAGACCACGCGGCCAGCCTTACGCTATTGTGCCTGTAGAACAATGAAGGATGAAATCTGTAGCACTGATTAGCGTGCCATCATTGTTTGCCTTGTGCTCAACAACGGCTCTCCTAAATATTGCCTTGTTTTTGGTTGCCAACGTGAGATATCGATGACCTTGAAGACTGAAGTTTTTGTTAGGGATGTTCAAGGCGAATCTGACATATTATTCTATGCTGATCTCTGTCCGAGAAAGTAAAGTAATACTGGATACGATCTATCAATAAATCGGAAAGCATGGCAAAAGGATGGCTTACAATTACAACCAACGTTCGTCAACGCCTGCCTCTACTGAGCCCTATTCTCGCAGCCAGCTGCCGAGCATGAATGAGCTGTAACCGTCGGGATCTTGCGAACAGGATGAAGAGGGATACGATGGCAAACAACAGATTGCAAGCCACAAATTCGTAAAAATCTGCTCGTTCTTTTCCTACTATCCGTCCGCAGGGCTCCCAAGCGAGATGCTCTCCTTCTGGTGTTGTTCCTGTATTCGCTGGGGTCCCTTCGGGTGACATGCTTGCCTCTGTGCAGTGCATTAATCGACGATTGCCAAATGGTTGGCAGAAGGGTTGGCTGAGCTGTGCTGCGGTTCAGCGTTCATGAACGATAACGACGGCGGAGCTTACTCACTGCCGCCGACGGGCAAGGCTCACAGACGCCAAAGGGCTGGCATATCATATGAAACTGCGAGTTGTTTCCTGGCGTGCTGAATGGGGTGTCTTGTGCAGACACAGCGTGAAGAAGGCATGTCCTGTATTTCCACCGTATGAGCACCGACATGCATCGTAATACGAGAGACTCCCGTACAGAAATAAGGTCATGATGTACGCCAACGACGGCGACGAGAGATGCATCTGAGCAGCATGAACGTGAGGGTCGACGACGAAGATGGCGACGACCACGTGGGAATTACGACGTTGCTCGTCGCATTCTCCTCTTGATTGCATACCACCATCTACGGCCCCTCATGTCCCGCAGAACAGCTGTAGTCGAAGAGTTCGACGACGATACGGACCTGCCGTTGCCCAGCCAGCCTCTTCCCAACACAGGATACAATGGCCCTCTACTGCAGGAAATAAATTCTGATGACGATTTTGACCTTCCTTCCCCGCGTGCAGGCCCCGCGTCGTCGCCGTCGTCACAGTCACAGTTCCTGCCCACATCGTCTGACAGTGTGAATGCAAAGAACTCGGTAACGGACATTACGCCCTATAAGAAGTATGTTTATCCACTCCTCTACGCCATATCCTTTTCATCCATTGCCAGGTGGACATGTATATACCCAATATATATCGATGCAAAGCGTCCATATAGTACTGGGCAGCGTAGGGTAGCACGCGAAAAGAGTGTGTGGTGGCCTCTTAGCAAAGACATTGCAGAAGCTACGAACCGACTCGGTCTAGGCACCCTCCACGAAGTGAACAAGGCCCACCCCCGGGATTGGGAGAACCCAGGCCGGGTTAGGGTGCTGTGGAAGAAGGACGGTCGGCTCATGAATCCTGCCATCCAGACCAGTCAGTGGCCCCCCTGACTTCTTCGTCATCGAGAAACAATCCTAACTCATATTACGCAGAAAAGCAGCTCTTGGAGATGGTCTGCATACAGATACAACGTCTAAAGCCCGAGAATATCCCCAGACCTCCCTATAACACTTCTCCTGCCAAGGTCGAGCCGATTGTTCCTGCACCAAAGCCGCATACAACAACTTCGGCATCGACCAAGGGCAAGCAACCCGCAACGATGAAATCCAAGTCACCTTCAGCGCCGCAGTTGACCAAGACTAGCGGTAGACGACCTCCTATACCTCCAGAACCTCATCCCCCACTCGCTAGTCGCGTATCGCCTTACTCCCCCGCTATATCCACGGGTGTTCTGATAGAGACAGTCAAGGCAGGGATGACCGCCCAGGAAGCCAATGCCGCTCCTGGTTCTGCTCCCGGTGCACCTGGATTGCCCAGTGGCGCACAGAAAGGAAAGCGGAAAGTGGTGAGGGTCAGAGGATGAATTGTGCTTATCCCACAGTATGTATGAAGGGAATTGTAATACATCGTTTTTCTGAATACCCTTTGCTAACTGCTTAAGCGTCGAAAGTGAATCAAGATAACGACAATTCCAACACAGCAACAGGAAAATGCGTTCGCGATAACGACTCGTGTGCTGTGGGTGGCGCTGGTCCTGTGGTCTCGCACGAGGTGAGGAATTCGGACATTCTGACGTTACCCTAGTCCCGTTCATAGTAGCTGGTGGCCAGGGCCAAGGACTCGGTTTTTCAGAATCATTTCCGGCTCGGAGCGTATAATGTGATATCGCTATCTCCATGCCCTGTTGCATCAGTAGCAGGGCACTATCTTGGCACCTACATGAAGTTGATGAGTTGAAGTCATCGAACTTGGGACCTACAAGGACCCATTTTTCACGTGGCCTCCCAGAATTGGTGAACTGATATGATCCTTGTTTTTTCAAGCAGATCGCATCTTCTGGTGTTGTTGCTTTATCTTTTTCCCTTCTTTCTACAGCACGTCGCGTTGTGAATACAAATCGCCTGAGATGCGGCCTCACCTGCTGAGGCGATCTTAGTCGCCTACGATGCAGCGTTCGATGACCTTTGCGCGTACAAGGCATACTTGCAATCATAAAGCCGAACGATTGCGTTAAGATTCGAGACGCCGTTGTTCAGAGTCCAGCGCACGATCGTGACTATGGCCTCTATTACTGCAAATATGGGGATCCGAGCGTGTTTCCAAGTGTCCTGACGATATTGATGACTGAGGAGTTGAAGAAAGTTACTTCGGTACTGGTGACAGCTAAAAGGGAACAACTAGTTCTGAAATACCTCTTTTACGCTCCGGCCAAGAGAGTTTTGGGGTCCTCTCACTCTTTTTTTTCGACAGGACCGGTATAAAGGAGCTTCTCACCATCATTGAATTAGCGTTATTAGCAGTGCAACGAGATATATCATGAGAAGCAGAATGTGGGGCCTTGGGGTGTAAAAGGACAGTACGTGTTGCAATTACTTCTTTTTGACACTGCGTTCAATTATGCGCTGGAGAATTGTCCTCGCTGACGTCATTCTTGTGGAAAGACACACAAGTCGCTGTATCCTAACTGGCAATATATCCGAGCGTCCTTGGCGATTCAGTATTATGGCTGTATGCTTTTAAACGTCTCGAGGAAACTCTGCTCCAGCTCCAACCACAGCAGCTGAGGGGGATGCGGTGGAATGCGTCTTGGTGGATCGTTTTCTTCGCAGCGTCTGCTAATACCAAATTCGTTCTATCGTTCCCACAGCAGCGCTTTAATGTCGATTTTGTGAACATTATTATTATGATCCTTGGATCGGCGAGTACGTCGTTCTGGCGCGAGAACGAGTTTCGCGTGGGCGACGTCCTCACCAGAAGAGGCGGATGGTGCGTTGTCATACTCCTAAATGAGCAATAGCAAACACATTGAGCTACTCCAGCAGGTAGGCATTTTGACAAATCTTGGTTACCTTGCTCATATCTTCGTCAGAATTCAATGCCCGCGGGTCCGTTCTAGCACTTCAAAGACAAAGACAGCAACCACCCGCGCCCCGCATATGTCACTATCGTTGTACATTTCAGCATCCACACTAACGTCTGTATTGTGGACTTCCCACCTCATCGATAACTAGAGGAGAAACCGGAACTTTGCTTCACCGGTAGATGGTCCTTCTCCTAGACATATTGGTGAGACCGACGTTGCTATGAAGAGCAGAAAATATTTTCCGCTCATTGATACGCTTGATTGTCATACCTCAAAATTTACCACACTACATTAGTTATCCGCCGGACAAGGATTCACTAACCTTCGAAACGTTGTCCCCTTTTTACCGAGATCTCAGACGATACCTTGGTGTATCCAAAACTCAGCTTGCCGCCATCATCCGTGAGTAGTCTCTTCTTCTCATCGTCGCCTGGTCCACAGAATGATTTGGCAACCGACGACGCGGAGGAGAGAGCAATGAAGTGAGACGTCTCACTTCTCGTGCCCAGTGTGTACACAACCCTCAGCGCGACTCCGTGTGGACCATGTGTATTTCGTACGGTACATTCGGGCTGCGCTGAAATGTGCAGCGGCATGTCCGGTTTGCGACGAACGAGCCATCGAGGACCAACTCCGGAAGATATACATCTCCCAGGAGTGGGCTCGATGGTGCCGCACGAGGTCGACTGTACTCTCTCATAACCCATACCCCTCCGTAACCCATACTCTCCCATAACCCATACTCCCTCGTAACCCATAGCTCTGAGGGTCCACCGACCGCTATAGGTTATAAGAGAGTCAACTGTACAACAGTTTCTCATATCGAAACGCAGAACAAGCGATAATATGAACAACAGAGCATCTTGCATGTAAGGCTTTATGAATCTATTCAGTTCCATCTACTAAAAAATTATGTTAGAGGGGTTAATAAGGCCAGATCGCGCGCACTAGACTCACCAGAGGCAGGACAGGGATCAAGGTCAGTCCTTTGAGATCTCTCAAGAGCGCGCCTTTCTCGAGGACCGTCTTATAAAGATTATGCACACTGACGCCATCAGGGAAGTCGTAATACCCCCGCTCCTCCAAGTCAATGGCCAGCTTCATCACCCACGTAGCGCAGGTCCAACCCCTAGGACCTATCACGGTCCACTCCTTGACACTAGCAGGATGAGACGCCCGAATAATGTCGTCGATCAGTCTTGTCGATCCCTGAAATTCCCCCAACTCTACGATCCCCCGAAATCTAGCCGATTTAGCTAGATTGGGTCGAGTAAAGTGCCATTTCCACAGGTAGTCGTCTTGTCGGACGATTTCGTAACAGGTGGTATCGTTCTTGGACCAAGGGAGGTCAGAAGAGAGGAATGCCCAGTGGAAGTATGGAGTCGGGTGTGAAGGGTCTGCATTTAATCCATAGTAGTAGAGAGCTATGCCGAAGCGCATCTCAATTTTCAGTCTGCAGAGGAATGAAATGAGCTATGCGGCTACTGGTAGTAATGATACTTGCTTTGTAACGTAGAAAAGCTGAAGAGGATTAGAGGAGATACTAATTTCGCTGCTTCTTATCGATAATCTACCCGACTCCTCTGATCAGGGTGTTTCAGTCAAGACATTCTCACATGAACGCTGCCGAAATGTAATAATAATTTCATAACTCCTGTTCCGGTGATAAACACTGATCCATACCTTCCACTGGTGGAGGTCATTGGCGAGTGCTTAGACTTCAGCTGGATCAGGTACGTTTCTGAAGCGCCCGGTAAAGGATGTAATATCGGTGACTGTGGACTTGATAAATAAATCGAGAGGCGCACCAGATCACATTTCCATTTAGGCGAACCCCATCCAAACCTAGCGTCGACGTCCGCCTCAAATTGGAATGGCGTCAAGAAGTTATGGATTCCCGATCGCCACTCTACATCATACGGCTCCGTAAACAAGGCCTTGAGGTATTCCCAATGGGCGGGATACCACCCTGAGCACTCCCAGTCCACGATACCGGTCACTTTGCCGTTGTCGACCATGATATTGTGCTGGGCTAGATCACTGTGCGTGAAAACGAGCGGATGTCTGCGGGAATGCGATTCGATGATCTCCTCGGCGCGTTGTGGTTCGCTATGAAAGACACGTCGAACATCGCCGAACGGGATGCCGAGACGGAGCTGCAAGTTCATTACTGCCTCGTCTGCATAGGGACCATAAGGCCCATCTGTGCAGATCCTGTAGTCCATGACGGGTCCCCCGAGAACAGAGCATATAGCAGGGCTTCGGGGGGAAGGAATGGCTCTGAGTTCTTCCACAAAGCCACGGAGTTGGGTATGTATATTATGCTTTTCTGTATCGGTGAATCGATTCCAGCGCGCCTGAAGAATGTCCTGGCCAGGAAGCCTCTGCATGAACGCGTAACTCTTCCCCCAGAAGTGGATGGTACCGAACACTCTCGGAACTGGAATTGACGTATGGGCACGTACAAAACGCAGGGACGCGACCTCCTCAGGGCCCCTAGTTTGTTTGATAAAGATCCACCGTCCCAGGGATTCTGCACCAAGGCTATTAGAGCTGTCGAAAGTAAAGAGGCTGGACACGGACTGAGCCACAACCACCGACAGATTGAAAAAGCAATTTCTTCGGAGGCGTAGCGGAGCTTGCGCAATGTTCGCATCCATAGAGGAGGGGGAGGATACTTTGCGAGGAGCTGACGGCGGCGCTCCTCTCGCGACACTGATGCCATGGGTGCAGTAAAAGTTCGTAGTATGCGCTTCGGCCCGACTATCCGGATGTTTGCTGCCCGTCCTGCATTGAAAACGTGACTAGCGGGACATACCAAATCAAATACACAAGAGTCGTAAAAAGGCTTCGCATAGTATGGGGGGCTAATTACATCTTGCTTGCTTGCCTTCCTTCACCTTCGTCGAGTTTGATGGTCCCTTTTTCCTTGCGCAACCTATTTCACTTCATTTCAATACGCCTGCACAGATCCCTCTCTGGTACCCTTCTCGATGATCGCTATCTCTTCATGGAGTGCCTTGGTACTGGCAGCACTGGCAAGGTCTACAAAGCGATTGATGTAACGATGAGCAAGGACAAACCTCCTTGTTTTGCTGTCAAGTGTCTTCGTAAGTCGCAGCGTGGTCCATTCGAGGCCAGTTTCCAGATGCGCGAGTTTCTTATTCATCACGCTGCTTCTCGCCACCGCAACGTCGTCACTCTGCACGAAATCATCGTCAATGAACCCCATGTCTACGTTGTCCTCGACCTATGCGACGGCGGCGATATGTTCTACACCATTATCGCAAAGGACTACTTCCCTCAGCGGACGGACCGAGTCAAAACTGCCTTTCTGCAAATCCTCGATGCCCTGCACCACTGTCATCAATGCGGCATCTTCCATCGTGATGTCAAACCGGAGAATATCCTATTTTCCGGGGATCGTTCTCAGGCGTACCTTGCGGACTTTGGCTTGGCGACGCTGGAGCCTTATTCAGGTGAGCACGGGTGCGGTAGCCTGCAGTTTATGAGTCCCGGTGAGTCATATGCTTTGTTATGTGCCGCCCGTTTTCAACTTGTCTTGAACAGAGTGCATCGGCAAGGAATTTGGCTTTCAGAACAAACTTTATTCAACGCGAGCCAACGATACTTGGGCCCTTGGCGTGCTTCTGATGAACATGATTACGGCTTGTGTACCGTGGATAGCGGCGAAGACAAGGGACGCGCATTTCCGGGCCTATCTTGACGACGATGACTATTTCTTGTCCGTTCAACCCATCTCGGAGGCCGCAAACAACATTCTCAAGAGGATCTTTGACCTCGACCCTTCATCGCGTATCTCCCTCCCAGAGCTCCGTAACGAAATTGTCGCCCTCGATACTTTCTTTTCTCCGGCTCGCGATCCCGTCACCGGTGAATCTATGCCTATCGAACCTGACAAGACATCGCCTCGTAATTCAGCTGGCCTTCGTTTTGATTACGCTCCGCTCTCCGCTCCAGGGCCGTCTGCTGTAGAGTCCTCGGTCCTCGCCGTTCCTGATGCAGACCATTCACTGACGTCCGCGGCGAGTAGTAGTATGGGGCCAATAACGCCCGAGACACGTGCCGATGTGGTCCAGGTTAAGATTAAGGAAGTGCCGGGTATTATTCCTCCTGGGAACGAGGTGTTGGAACCGGTGGTGAGGAATGGGCATATATTCAGGGACCTCGAGAAGCCGACATGGATTCGAAAAGTGGTGCCGAAGAGTAGTTGTTTTCAAAGATTCGTGCAGCGTTTGACGCCGGCGTCAAAAAACGCTCGTCAGTGACGACGGCATATCGGACATTGCTATTCTTACTCTCGTTTCAGCTTTGCTTTTCTTCTGTCACTACGTGGTATTATATGACAGACAGTACATTCATTACCTTTTGAACTTGTTTAAAATAACACTAAGGATTACACGTGGAAAATGAAAATGAAAACGAGGCAAGAGATATATAAAGCGGGAAGTACATTATAAAACAACAAGGAACATACACGAAAGTCTGCGTAGAAGAAATCCAATGATAGGTAACAATACCAGATCTTTACCCATGCCAACAAAGTTGTATCCATCCATCCATTCATGACAAAAGAAGATGAAAAAAAAAAAAAAAACCCATGACGAAATAGTGCGTGCGAAGATGTTACAAGCAATGGAGCGTGAGTATGTGAAATAAATCTTAAACGTTAGATGAATACATTAGGGGGGGTTGGAAGGGTTAGACCGCGCCACAGGAAGATTGTTAACCCCCTAATACCGTAGTGGGGGTGGCAAATCAGGCATGAGCACATGCACGGGTCTTCCATCCGAGAAGCTGCCCTTATGTATCAGCTGATGGACGTCTTCCGTTAGGACGAGAGAATGGACGGAGTGCGCGGGAGACGGGGAGCTCGCCATGGAGGAGGGGGAATGGACGTGCGCTGGGAGCGGTTCCGGCAGGTCTGAGGTGTTGTACGATGGGACAGGCTTGCGGGGCATACGACGGGGCGGCTGGCGAGGATTTTGTTGTTGTTGTTGTTGTTGCTGTTGTTGTTGCTGTTGCTGTTGATACCCAACAAAGACGCCATCGTCTATAGGCAGCACTGGCGATGAGAAACGACGGTTCTCCGTAGGCGTATGGAGTACGCTGCTCGTCGAGGGCGATTCAGGGTACGGCTGCGGTGAGGGTGCCATCCTCTGAGCCTGAGCCTGAGTCTGGCTCCGCGGTCGACTGAAATTGTTGTTTAGCACGTAGGACTCGATGGACGACGTGGACTGCCGGCCGGCTTGCGGTAGGCGCGGGCTGTAGCCAACTGCATGAGCCATGACTTCCCCGTTCTCTACAGACACCGGGGAGCGCGAGTACTTGTCCTCGTACGAGGCGTATGGGTTGAAGCCTTCTTCTGAGCAAGAGCTCTCAGCCATAGTGTGCCCATAAGAGACGATGGGACCCATGGAACCCGCCTGCGAATGGTGCCTCTCGACTCTACCCTCAGAATCGTACCCGCTCATTCCTACGACCCCAGCACCGTTGTACTTGTTGGTCTTTTGCTTCGTCGTCTTGGCCGGGTGGGATTTACCGCTGTGAGTAGAGTCGAACGAGCCGAGGGTTCCCCATCGACCGACAATGCCACTGTTAGGAGATCCGAGAGAGGGGCCTCGGCGACGGCGGTTAGTGGCACAGAGGAAGTAGAGGAGGGCAGCCAGCACAGCGGCAAGTAGGGCAACACCGCCAATGACGCCGCCGGCAATGGCACCCTTGTTGACGGAAGTTACGGCATCTACGATGGCAGAGGCGGACGGGCTGCTGGTAGAGGTGCTCATGGCGGCGGATGAAGACGAAGACGAAGATCCGGCAGAACTTGAGAGGCAGGAGACGTCGGATCCGTTACTGACGAAAAAATCGAAATATGTGGTCTGGCTGAAATCCGGGTAAGTCTCCATGGAGGCCCAGATGGTGTACCACCCCTGCGGAACATTAACCTTGTCCCAGGTGAATGAATCATTGGAAGGATCAGCACTTGTTGTAATGATCTTGACGATATCACCGCTGGACGTACTAGCACCATCACCATCACCAGCAGTGAGATACGTGGGGATAGCTCGAGCCGCAACGTCGCTAACTCCGTCCGTGATGAGGCTAGGGGAAGTTGTGGAAGAAGATGATGACGATGATGTGGTCACAGAGGAAGAAGAATCAGTTTGGGTAACGTTGATATTCGTTATCATGAGCTCCAAGGGAGATGTTGGACCAGAATATACCCATCTGACGCTCGCCGAAGTGCATGTAGTGAGACTGGAGACGCTGACGAACACCAGAAATGGCGTAGAAGAGGACGATGTAGCGCTAGAAGTGGCAGTAGCAGTGGACGAGGCGGCTGAAGTAAATTTTTTTGGTCAAGACGAGCGATTTAATGCCGGTAACAAGAACGCACCTTGACGTTCTAACAGCGCTAGCTCAGGAAGACCTGGAATATGCATCTATCAGCTGAGGAACGGGAGGAGAGATGGCAATGAATTGAAGGAAAAGTGTCGCCAGGTAAGGCACCAGACATGAAGAGATGCCGCCATCTGTTTTAATAAAAAATAACAGATCGACGCAGAGTCAGACACTACATACTGCGCGCCCTGCGCGCTGAAAACGCGGTTAGCATGAGCCTAATCTCGCCACAGACGTGACAATCAGCGTTAAGCGACGGCGCCGGTCCAGGGCATCCGCGGAGCTCGACACTCATTGCCGACACTGAGGCACGACAACTTTTTGCTAGCGACGTCGCTACCGTACAGACACGAATAGACTCATTTTCACCAGCCTGAAAATGCAGGGGGAAAAAAAGAGCTAGAAACTCACCGCGGGCACCAAACGATGCTCTCTCGGCCACAGCACCCTTCACCATCATCCAGAGAGTAAATAAAAGGAATTTCTTCATGGTTTTTTGAATGTGTCCCCTATTATGTGCATGGACTGCCCTTCTGCTTGAACGGTGAGTATCTAGTGAAACTGGCACAGAGACAGATTCCTCCTCCTCACCAAATGAATGTTCCACCACCGTGTCGCAGAGATGGAGGCTCGAGGATGAGACCTCTTTTCGTTCCCCCAAAGGTAGAAGAAGAGAACAACAATAAGGGTTGGCTTGGTGGGCGTTTCCAAGCAAGGTCTCCCCGGAGGCTTTACTTGGTTTTTCACCCGTTTATTAATAATTATTTTTACGTTATCTCTAATGCCGCCATATCCCCGGTCCTCCCGGTGCCGATAGCACACGGGTACATATCTAAAGTACAAGCCACCAAATGCTTATGTATTCAACAGTGCTGATATGAGTTTGAACGGCGACCCCCAGAAACTCGTGGCCGACGAGATGTGCATGTTCAAGCTAGACTACATCGGACGATAACGTACTTGGACATTATTTGCTACGCGAATTGCCAATGAACCAGCTAAAAACAGGCTTCGACGCGAGCCACAACAGAGCCCAGAAAGCGAGTACTGGTAGTGAGGCTAAAGGCTGATCCCATCTGTCCATGCCAGCTACTCGCTGTGCAAGTGCTGTATAAGAGAAGGAAGTCGCGCCCCCAACCCTGTAGCGTCATCTTGCCGTGCCAGGGTAAAACTGATTGGCTTGACCTCTGACAGGACAATTTGTCGACTGATGTAACGCGGTGTACACTGCGGGCTCCTCATCTAAGCTCGTCATTAACGGAACAGTCGGGCAATCATTATGCACAGCACCTCATTATTAAGTGATCAATCGTTGAAACGGAAAGGCGCAATGAAAGCACAAGTAGGCACAGACTTGAGCGGCTTATCATATCATCACGCATAGCCCCGAGCTCCAAGTCATCCGGATTCTGAGCTGCTGAGCGAGGAGAGGGGACTCTGGAGAAGAAAGAACTTCACCTGCATCTTCGCCCGTTGTTCTTCTATCAAGAAGAGCCTTCAAAGCCGACAAGATAGAGCTCTGTCGGCTATGGGCGCCACCCATGCGAGGCCGACTCCAAAAATAACAGCCAAGACTTGATGTAAGCAAGCATCTTTGGGTTGCGGCGCAATGGAATAACCTGTTACGCTAAAGGAGCAGAGGCAACTCGTGATTGTGAAGCGCGCCTGCAGAAATGATGAAATTGACATCGGAACATGGCCCAGAATGGATGATACTTTACTCCAGCCAGTACTAGATCCAGAACCCCCAAGTCTTTCCGATTGCATAGCATCGGCCGGTGCTAGTACATTTGGACCAGTCAGAAAAAAAGGTACCGTCGGTCAACACTTGAGCAGCATATGGCACAGCACACAAGCGAGACTCATGTCATATTGATTTGGATGCTCAAGAAGCTGTCCATGCTACAGCTCTTCTCATCTTGCCCAGTTAGAGATCTCGTTTTGTATACATTAGTGATGTGGATCATGACGTCCTAATCAAGTCAAGTCAAGTCAACTCATCATATCACGCAACGCATAGACAGATTCCATCAAACCTTGACTACGTACAATGATCCAGCGAGTAATGGAATCAGTCAAAACAAAATGCACGATGGGGAAAATATCTCGTCAACTTCAGCTGGCGAATGTCTAGGTCTTTGCGAACATCAGGGGTCCGGCAATTGAGATACGGCGGAAAGCTGCCCTGATATGATATCAGCAGCATAAAGTCCCAGCAGAGCTACCGCATAGACATGCTCGTTGATCAGGACGACGACCATCCAATCAAGATACGCATCACGTTTGGCCTGTAGTTGGGACAGTACATGCATCTCTGTGTGATTATCACCAAGACTACTAGCTTGCTTTCTTGTCGAAACTTGGATGTGAATCACAACCGTGATAGATCTCAGCGTTACACATTGCATTGCACATCTCCTTCAAGGCACGCATCAATACAAAAAAAACTGAACATGAAAAAAAAAAAAAAGATAACGAACCTTGTATGTTTTTCTGAAACATCACAGCTTGATTTCTGCACCACCAGATTCAGGCCTTGAAATCCCACTCTCGGCTGTAAATGCCCGTCATTATTGAATAATACTTACTACTACATCATCGTGCCCGATTCGTCGACGTCGAAGGGACAGCCCAATAATCGCTCGGGACAAACCCATTCATCAATCCCTTGACCGCAGCCTTGGCACTCGTCCGCAACTTTCCCTCCTCCTTGTCCTCCTCCGCCTCGGCCTCGTTAAACCCCAGCCCAAGTTTCTCAGCCATATCCTGCGTCGCCCTGTCGTTTCTCACCCATTCGCCTTCATCATGCTCGCGGGACCACCATTCCTGAGAGGCCGCCCGCAGCGATGGTGTTCGCGCGATGGCACCGCGCGTATATTTCAGTAGGTGCAATTTGGTAACGAGTCCTTGGAGAGTCGTCGCTGTACGCGTCTGGGTAGGAGAAGATGGAGGAGAAGGCGGCAGGGCAAGATGTATTATCACAGGGAGAAGCAGGAAGACGATTCTTCGAAGGAGAAGCAAGTTGTCGTGCCACTGCGGATTCTTAGTATGGCCAGGCCAATATCTGAGGTAGAGAGAGAAAGAGAGAGCTCACCATGAAGACAGAAGTGGCATCAGGATCATTGGGTATTTGAATGCTACGCGTCATTTTACAGTACCCTTCCATGACAGCGGCACATATCAGCGCAACAACGCCTAGTGTTCGATGTCGTTCTCTATGCGTCCCTCTAATCGTCACGACCTACATCCTTATCAGCTCCACACAGAGGAACAAAAAAAGAGCTGGGAACACACCCCGACAATCGCAATCTCGCATATATAAGAAAGAATCGAAGTTGCAAGAGCAAACAAGGCAAAATCGCCGTATGAATGACAGTATTCGCAACTGGCTACGACGTCGTGGCCAAATCTGTAACCCATATCAGCATAGTTGACCAGGGAGATACAGCGGGACGCGCGCACCGAACATATAAAGTTCTCGTCTCAAAGGAGCCCATTCTCCCTAGTAGCTGCTCTATAGCTCTCGGAAGCTCTCGCTCGTCCGAGTTCTTCAACAAGAGACTCCGGATTGAGTCCGCCGGCATAGACAGCGGTACCCTTAGCGCCGTAAAGATATTTGGCGGTGGCAGAAGGATGATAGAGTATGCGAGGAATATCGAGTGGAGGAGGAGGAAACAGCTAATGCCTCGCCCAAGTCGTGGTGTGGAGGACCACGTCAGCCGAAGGAAGTGCAGCGAAGGAAGCAGGATGGCAAGGAGGGTTGCGAAAAAGAGAAGAAGAGAGGCACCTGCCTGCACCATAGAGGTCGAAAGCGAGGAACATGAAAGGGAGGCGAAAGGAGGAAATTTTGTTTCCGCCAAGGATCGAACCTGTCGGTAATCTCCGGCACGCTCCCTAAGTAACTTTGCCTTCCATTGAACGTAGTAGTAATTACACGTGTTGGTCGTATGGCATTCGGGCGGGGGACAGTGAACATCGGAAGTGGAGGAACTTTTGTATCTATATCTATCTACGCGCGCCGTCATGCATAGTCGCAATGACGCGCCGACGTGAATTATCCTGGAGCAGAGTAATGTGAGAACACCATGGCTGCAGTGAGTGTGTAGGTCTAATAGTTCACTATTATATTAACATCAGTAAAATACAACTAGTCCGACGCAAAAACTCCATTTCGGAAGCTTCAAGTTGCAAGACCAAGTGCTCTCCGCATTCATCGTCTTCTACTAACTAACTTCCGCTTTCCTTTCTGGACGGAAAAACCGTCTCTACTCTGACTTTTCCCAATGGTTATAACTCATTGCGACGCGATCCGTGCTCATAATTCTGGCATACTCTAGGAACACTCTGTACCAGTCGCGATCAAACATGGAAAGCAAAGAAAAACGAGGCCGGGGACGAACCTATAATTATACGCCGTCATATCCTCCTCCCTCCAGAAAGTATGACTCCAATCCCGGCCCGCTGAAGCAATCTTTCTCGCAAGATCTTCATGGTTGTTGTCCCCTTTCAGATCGCCATGAAAGAACACGATGGTGTCCCACAGATCCGAGTAGTCTACTTGTATGGGGATGTAGTGCACCCAGGGCATAACCCTATCTGTGAACCTGGACAGAGTTCAGCTATGTGGGCAGTTCCTGGTCGGTGTCGGAAGTCACGAACCATTCGGGATAGATAGTCGACTTGAAGATGAGTGCGTGAGAGGACATGAGCCACTTTAAACGCCCGGACCATGCGTTGCCGTCAACCTACATAAACAAAGAGAGAGATTGAGAAACGAAAAGAAAGAAACCGAAGCACGACCACCCACTGACATCAAATATATACTTGTACCTTGCCTGCTCCGTCTGCGACCGCCCTTTCGTAAAGTCATACAACTTAGCCAGGACCTCGCAAACATCAGGATCACACTGCACAGGATCGCCCGAGAACGCCATATCAAGCATCGCCGGCGCATACCTCGCCTTCTGGACCACCTCACCCCTCCCCACTCGTTCCCCCCTCGAACGCGGCGGCGCCAAAATCGTCACATTATCGCCCTTGCCCTTCTCCACCCAATCCATCATCCGCATCCGATGCGAGAGTGGCCACTCCGAGTCCCGAACGTGGAGGATCCCCGTCGTACGGCCCCGCCACTGCAGTCGATCATCGGTCTTTTTCTCCCATACGATGTCATCCTTGTCAGAGAGCTCGCCCAGCCAACTGACTGTGTGTGCGATGGTGATGTCGTGATGCAGTAAGGTTTGGGAGTAGGCGAAGGACGGGATCATGCGGTGGGAGGGAATGGGTCCCTTTCCCCAGGGGAGAAACTGTCCGTGCTCGCGAAGGAGGTGCGGGTGTAGGCAGGGGTCCATCGCTTTTCGGTGGTCGAAGATGAACGTTTTGGGAGCATCGGGCGGCGGTGGTGGCCAGGATGCATTGAAGGTGAAGTCAATGGAATCTTTCCAGGCGGGCGAAGTTGGGTCGCAGCCTGAGATCCATCCGTGATGTTTGACAGGAACAACAGGATTGTCGACGTCGATATCTGTGACGGCATTAACATTGGAAAACGATGAGAAAAATCAAAAATGACGTACAAGTCCCTGCGCGAGCGTGTTCGAGGGCCTTCTCCCGCAGTTCCCAGTCGGTGACGTGTTCTGGGTTGTCATGCGGATGGAAAACGGCACGAAAGGGTGGTAGGGATTCATCGACATCTTTGAGCAGTTCACTAAGCATGCCGGCACCACTAAAGACGTGATCGTGGGTACTGGGGTCGCGGATGGCGTAGTTGACAATTCCAACAGGATGTCCTTCCTCTTTACCAAGAGTAAACGAGTCTTCGTGACCCTCCCATTCGCTGACGATCCTATTTAGATCGACTGGGCTGACGCTCCAATAAGGCTCGAGGTCTCGGTATATCTGGTCATACTCGTCTGGAAGCTGAATATTGTGCTTCTCAACATATTCCCACCTATGCACAGCTTAGATTCGAACAAGTTTTTTTTAAAAAAAAGCGGAAGTACCCACCATTTATCGAATCCACGAGGGGGAGCTCTTTTATACCGACGCTCATATTCGATCACTGCCTCGTTGAGAGTCTTACTCGCTCGCTGCAGCTTGGCTTCCCACTTGTTCTCCGAAAATTCAATGAGTTGGTAGATAGGATGCGGTCCCTCTGCATTTACTTGGAGCAGCCCGTTCGAGAGATATTCGTGCATGGGCAGATCATCTGCTTCAGCCTCGATATTATTTTTTCCCGCTGCCTTGTGCTGCGAATTCCCTAGACCTCCCAAATTCCCCGACGAATGGTATACAGGTCTGGCATGCTCAACCGTAATAGATTCGGTGAACGCTTTGAGAGTCAAATTAGCAGTATATGATCCATAAAGATTTGTCCAGAAGCCTCCGGTAATAACCAAGAGAGTAAAGACGGTGATAACGGCCGCTGGGCGCCCTTGGCTCGACCTGCGAAGAGTTGAAGTGACTTTTAGCATGCTGCGGACAGCTGGTGAGGGAAAGGAACCTCACTCTGGAGCCGGACTTTTAGGTTTGAAAAAATTGGACTCTTTTCCAAAAGATCACTTGGAAAGTCTTTTAGAACGTGTTGGAAACAACGACGCGTCCGTCAACAGATCGAAAAATATGCTCTTTTTGGCGTAAAATCAGTACAAAAAAAAAAAACAAAGGATTTTTCATTTAATTATTATTGTAATTTCTAGTGTGAAAAGTCATGTCATTTTTAAAAAGCAGCCGACACCAGCAGTGCCTTGCCATTGGACGTGAAACCATTCGGGCTCGATATTCATGTTCTGATTGATATTCATGCTCGTAGGTCGAACGGCCGCCGCGGCTACTGCGTCTGAACTGAGTTTGAATTGAGCCGGCATTTCCCATTTGGAGGCACGATGGCCCACAGTGGGCACCTTCCTACTCTTTCTCGCAGTGGGAAGAAGACGTTGTAAACTGTATTATAACCTGCATTTGTGGCCTAGTAGCAAGTCTCATCACGACATCTTGATTCTTGAATATCATTCAATACTTGAATCACACAACAAGAAGACCTGAGAAGACAGATTCAATCAGGGAATCCAGTGATCTGGTAATCTTAACCAGGAGTCAGAAAACAATACAAAACAAATGTGGCTTAGAATATACCTGTCACCAGTCAAAATTTGGCCAATGAAGAAGATCAGTTTATTAAGGAAATCTTGCTGTCAAATCTGAGTGTTAGCATCACAGACTTTGACTGATATTTGGTGAGCATCAGAGGTTTAGCAGTTGAAATATGACAGAAAGTTGCCATAGAATGAATGATATGAGTCTGCAGCCTTGACTCCCAGCAGTGCTTGCTTTCTAGCTGGAACTTTGATGTGAAGCAAAGATAATGGAAATATCACACATTTCTGTTGTATATTAGTGTATTGCACATCACCACTCACCTTTTAGAGCCTTCAAGGCATGCATCAATTCAAGACCTGAAAATGAAAAAGACACCTGAAACATTTCTTCACAAGATTGCCTTGAAATCCTGCTCTCAGCTGCAAATGCTCATTATTATTGAATGATACTTACTATATCATGGTTTCTGATTTATCTATATCAAAGAGCATTCCAATAATATACAACAACAAAATGTTTACATGATACTGTGCATATATGTTACAATTTTTCCTATTCCTTTTCTTTTGACCCCTATTTATGCTTAGTCAAAGTGTCAAGAATAAGCACTTAGAACCATGGGAAGGCTTAGTCATCACAAAACTGGCTTCATCATAGTTCTTTGATATGACTGACATCTAACAACAAATGCACAATCAGCCTTTTATATATGGTAATGATGCTCAAGGACAACAAGTAACAAGGACAGAGAAATATACAATAAGTACGAAATATTAATAGCACACCATGTATAGTATTTAAGGAAGCCTGCTCTCACTGGTAATCTCCAGCTTTGAGCTAAAGTTTATTCTATACCATTCTCTTTTGAGCCTCTCAAAGCATTGGCCTTATGATATATTCGAGCAGACTATGCATCAGTGAACTCAAGTGATCTCTTAAAGTGCAAAGAGACATCAGTTTATCATGTGTATCTGTTCACATGACACTTGGGTCTAACAATTAGCTTGAAGCTTCCTTTTCTCTTTCCTCATGCCTGTTAGTGCAGAGGAAACTGAATGCTCTCTATCAATCCATCAGACCTGAACTTTGACCATGAGTTCTTCGAACTCCTTGCTTCAATAATCAGAACATTGTTGGAATTATTGGTGATCATCCAGCTGTGCTGGGGACACTATTCAATCACTGTGTGGGCCATCAGACATTACAATGAGTTCCAATATATCTGTGACATTCTATGAAATATAACCTCAGATCTTCTCTTATATGATATCTCTGACTTTCAACAAATATCTCACCAGTCCCTGACAAGCCCCCTACCAGAGGCTGGGCCTAGCAGCACATATCAAGGGGATGTTCAAGAAGAAGAAAGACCTCAATACTCTCTTCAAAGAACTGGCCAAAACCATGACTCTCACATTGCTGGATTCCACAACCCATGAGTACTTAGACCCTCACTGGATCATGAGGATGAGGACATCCCCAAGAACTTCTTTCAGCAGTCACCCTCTCCTGACCTTCTCTCTGCCTCTCCAACCAGAGGGATTGGTGATTACACCAGAGATTCTATCAGTCTCACTCAGATAGCTGAGTGATCCCGATATGCAACACCTCAAAGCCAGCCTGCAAGCCCCACCACCTCCTCTCCATGCTCAGTCAGGACTAGCAGTGGGCTGAGGAGGGCATCCTCAGACTGACTTGAGGACAAGCAAAGAAATCAGGAAGTCCAAGAAGAAGTCATCTACAGGTACTTCTCTATATGGGACATCAACATCCCTTTCAACTACAATGAAGCTCTTCAACAGGAAGAGTAGAGGCAGCAAATAGCATCATGACTAGTTCACAGCAAGCTTGAAGAGTGCATCCTTGAGAATAGAAGGCAGAGGAGGCAGGCCACCAAGTATGACAGTGAGCATAAGGAAGAGTAGTGAGCCATGAAAAGGGCCTGACTGAAAAGAGCAAATATTGCCAACTGGTATGGACTTAGACCTGAGGTCATATCTATACTCATGTCAGTCCAAGCTAACCCCTCAACCCCCATCTTCCAAGAATCTAGCACTGACTCTGACTCTTGGAGCAAGAACCATTGGCAGGAAGAAACCTTCACTGCCAAGAGATGACTCTCTGAGTCTTCTCTGAGCCCTTCCACTCTCAAATATCCTCCTTCCAGATGAATCCCCAGTGCAGACACCATCTTTGAGAATGATAAGTCCATCCTCAGACACTATAGACTTCAGGTCTCTGACACTGCTCACATCTCCATCCAAGCTCTCCAAAGGTTCCTCAGAAGTCAAGTGGTCAGACAGCTCCTTGATGATAGATATCAAAGGAACATCCAGCTTTATTGTGAGTGAGTAGAAGTAGTGAGAGCAACAGGAGACAACTGATACAATGACCATATCAGGTCTCAGTCTCCCTCCATCTACTGCCCTCAGACCACAAGTCCCATCGCTGGCTTCAGCTTCCAGCCAGGGCAGCAGAATGACAGTCTGACTGCTAAGAGACACAGAGAGTTCCTACAATCAGCCCACTGCTTCCCTCCTCAGAGAGGACGATAGAGACAAGGATGACAAGGAAACTGAAAGTAGTGATCCACTATGATCAGAAGAGGAGCTATCATACCTCTTAACAGAAGACACAGATGAAAAAGAATTGGCCAGGGAGATTGAAGAAGCAAGAAGGCAAGAGTATCAGGAGCTATATCTGAACAGTGTAAAATTCTTATGGCATGATGCTACCTGAGTAGTATTGCCACTTGGACAATTATATCTTCAATCTGCTGCTAACAAAAGAACAGAAATCCTAAGGCATGCAGCAATCAACTATGCTGCTGTCTAATATAACAAATGGCATCTGGAAGACCAGATCTAATGACCACCAGCATATCCAATGCTGGCCTAAGCACAACCCATGCTACAGACACCACTAACCATTCTAAGAAGGGCCATCTACACAGCTCCCTCAATCCAGAGCACTTTTTCATACTCCACCCCCTCCTTATGATCTATGGCAACTTGGCTAACTTGAACTTGACCAACAGCCTAAGAAACATCTACAACATACCAAAACCTATGGACTGACAGAGAAAGTAGAGTTCTGGGAGTACAGCCTCCTCCAGATAAAGCAACTGGGAGTAACACTGGGAAGGAGCCAGCCTGAGATGACTCTAAAGCCATATGACTCAGATTCACCATCTGAGATGAGGTAATCATCAGAAAAGAAGAATCATAGGGGAGTTTGTTAGCTGATAATAATTTCCTCCACTCTTTCTCAGGTCCACTGCTAGATTGGTGATGCCCACTATTTTCTGAATGGCTGAACCCAATGGGTGCACTACCAACCAACACAGCCATCCTTCAATGCTGCCCAGATTTACTTCAGAAGCCCCATTCCTTCAAGAGAGCCTCCAATGACATTGACTAATTCCTGTTAGGCCTAAATTTCATATGACTATTTAACACATGATAAACAGTTCAGAATCTCGCACTTCAGGTTAGACTGACTGAGTTCACTGATATGTCAATAGCGTTGTGTAGTCAAGGCTTTGAGAGTAGCTCGAGATAAGATGGTGAAGAGTAAACTTTAGCTTAATGCTGGAGTTGTACAGTGAAGCTAAGCTACTTAAATATGATTTTACTACTCAGTTATAAATAGAAGTATCATAAAAGACTTTGTCTGTCATCGAGCTGTTACCCCTGCTGTTGCCAGCCTTTCTACAATAGCTGTTGTCTTGCTGTTGTGCTGTTGCTGTTGCACTGCCATATAGAGATAAAAGAGGTATTGTCCTCTCTTCACAGCATATAGCAGTGCATCAGGACAATGACTGACTGGATTGCTGACTAAGCATTCCTACAGTCACATCCTGACTAAGCAAAGATAGAGGTTACTCCTAAAGAAAAGAAAAAAGAAAAGAAAGAATAGAAAAATCATAACAATTCCTTGTAGACTGCAAATAATATTTCAAGGTATACACCTCATACTTGAAAATGGATATGAACAAGGTGGTCTTCGCTGCCTCCTATCTAGAGGAGAAAGCCAAGATCTGGTGGATCTTGATCTCTCTAAATTTTCAGAATACTATCTGGAAGCACTACTGATACCTCTCTTGGCCAATCTTCAAACAGATATTAAACAACAAATTCATTGACCTGGCAGTACAAGAAGTGCACAAGCAAAAAATAAAGGAGTATAAGATGGCTGATAAAGCCATGACAGATTACTTTGATGAACTGGAGTGGCTAGCTAAACTTGCTGAATTCTGGGATGATATGGCCAATGACAGACAAATAGTCAAGGCCTTCAAGCAAGAGGTTCCCTTCTCTTATATCACCATGATCTCAGCTATTGGCATCAAATCTCTGATGCTGGTCAGATACAATAAATGGA